CTCTCTCTCTCTCTCGTGCATATTTGTCGTCTAGACTTCTCTCCTAGATCTCTAAACCTGAGATCTCTCGGATCTCTCTCACACCTCTCTCAACTGATTTCTCTCTTAGATCCGAGAGATCTTCTATCTTTTCATTCTTGTTGTCATAAGTAATAAACCACGAGCTGTTCTCCAAGTTGAATGGTTCAGTGGTCAAACCGTCTGGGTCAACTATTTGTTGACTAATTCAATGATTTTTTACCAGGGATTGGGTTTAGGGTAAAACGAAACCAATCATTAAACGATTTCCAGTCCGAATAGTCTGATCGTTCAGGTCCAAAACATTGCTTCCAATTAGTGCACTATTAGAAAATTTCTCCTAACCTTCACTTCTTTTTCTCTATTTTTCCTTATCTCTTGGTCCCCACCAAGGGAAAATTCCTGGTTGTGCCACTATCAGGGATGGACCAACTCCTTTTCCTCGTGTCTTAAACTCATAAACTTATATTGTTCTTTGTCTGTTGTTTTTAGAATTGGGATCTGCTACTCAAAGTGCCCCCTTACATCAACCTCACAGCTACATCCCACCCTGTATTGAGAACATCTCCCCATTTATAATAAATAGAAGTATGGGAGATATTCTTGATGTGCGGCCAAGACAAGCTGTGAGATCAGTGTGATCAGTGTGAGGCACACTGTGAGGAATGGATCCAGACTCCAATGCTCCTTCAAAATTAACAATAAAAGAATCTGAATCACATGCCAACAAAATATATTCAACACCCTACCAACATCATCTTACATCTCCATGGCAGGTCCCACTATCCAGTTTCATAGTGAGATGTGTGGTATCAGACCAAGTTGGTAGGGTGTATTGAAACGAGTTTTGTCAACAAGAGGTCCCAACACCCTCACCTTCAATTGGAGACATAAAGCGAGATCACAACAATGCATCCGAGGTCATGATTTTATGATTTTAACCCACTTCAACTTAAGTGGAGTAGCTGATTTTCGATTCACTAATTTAATCTATAAAATAAACAATTAGATCCATGATGTCATAAAACTATAATTCATAAAAATGGGTTACCTAGCGTCTGTTTGGCATCAATGTCGTTACTCCAGAAAACGGCGACACATCAATGCTACGTTGGAAAAAACAGTGCTTAAGGAAATGCTTGTTTGTTTGGAACCGTTTTTCCATAAAAAACAGTGCTCTAAGACACGTGCCTTGGAAGTCGGGAAGGTGTGGCTTAGAGCAATGCTGAATATGGCATTTCCTAGAGCTACAATTCATTGCTGCCAATAGGACATGAGGTGGCAGTGACAGGGACATGATGTGGCAGTAACAGGGACATGATGTGGCACTGGACAATAGGTACTAGTGCTGAAAACATTTACTGGAACATTGGTACCAAACAGAAAACGTTGTTGTTGCTCCAGGAAACGTCCTACTTGGCAGCAACGTTTCCAAATGAAAAAAAAACACCGTTTTCTCATAAAATGGTGCTTCCAAGCCACACATCAGCAGTGCTGTATTGCATCAATGCCAAACATATACCTAGTAAGCAGATCGGATGAATGTTACCTATTCGACTGACTGTGTCAACCGGTCATCAATCAATTCAATGTTTTTCTTTGGCAACACAACATGTTAATGATTAGACATGTTTATGGGTCGAGTAGCTCGACGGGTCGGTCTGGCTTGGCCTGATCTAAGTCAGGTTTGGACAAGATTTCAGACCTGTGGGGCTTGGGCTTTCTCAAAAAATCCCGGTCCAAGCCCAAGTAATAGTGAGATCTTTTATTATTATTATTTTTACGTTTTAAGACCTTTTATTATAAATAAAATAGTTTTTAATCGAATAAAAAAGACCTAGGCCCGATGATCAGGCCGGGCTCGGACTCAGGCTTGAGCATATTCTGTTAATGTAGAGGCAAAGCCCAGCCCGGCCCATAAATAAGTCTATTAATGATTCATCAGAACTAGAAATTGTGACTGAAACACTAGGTCACCATTCCAACTAACAATGGATGTAAAACATTGCTTGCAGACTTGCAAAGGGAGAAGGAACAGGTGAATGCATGGTTTTGAAAACCGAACCGGATCAAATGGTCGGACTGATTGACCCAGAAACCGCTTATGGGTCAGGGTCTAATTTTGGACCCCAAAACCGTTCAACCCAGAGTTGAAACGGGCGATCGGACTGATTCACCAAGGAATCGATGGGCAAAACAATTTCGCTTCCGGTCGAGTTTTCAAAACCATGGGTGAATGGAAGGAAGATGGAGATTAATTGGGTCACATTAACTAATTACAAAGGTGATTATTTGTAAGCAACTTGGAAGCTAAGTTGTTGGTTATTAAAAGCAATCTCTTGTCTTCCACTTCCACATGCTTGCGTAATAGTAAGAAAGAAAAGTCTACCAACTGGTCTTAATGTCGATTCTGCTCCTCCATATAAGACATGGTGAACTGTAGGAATCCCAAACTACAAATAACAAATGTGGTTGCGTAGCTTCCATTACATGACAAATTATTCATGGATGGGGGAGTTCCGGAGTTCTCGTCTCCATGGATGCGTGAGCCGTGAGGAGTGTCTTTTCCAGCTGGGCCTGGGATCCCTAAAACCAAAAAGTCGTATACGCATCTCGAGAGCATAGTCGTGATGGGACATATCTCCCCCTTTGATGTGTGTACACAGTTTCACCCACGGCTATTTCTTGTGTGAGTTTATGCTTGCAACTTGGCATAAAGGCTTTTCTTTGTCTGCGGTGTAAAGGAAAAAGTAGGAAAATTTTTATAAATCTTATATAGATTTCTCTACCTTTTCCTTTAAATCAAATATATATGGGTTGAATGTAAATTCTGATTTATAAGAATGGAATGATAAAAAAAATGGTGTAATCCCCACTTTGTATGGGAGTGAATGAAGGTAGGAGGATGTATAATTTGTTAGGAGTGTAAATTGCGAAACGCTATTACAAACAAATGAATGCAAATCTGAATTAGGTATATGATCCATATTGAAATTGAAAACAAATAGAGCAAAAAAAAGGGTAATTGAATTGCACATAATAGAAACACCAAAAATAGTGTCATCTTCTCAGAATGAATTGCACATAACCTAAATAAAAAGTACAAAACGCTTGTATCTGAATAGTGTATCAAATAAGAGAATCGATATTCAGTCCTTACAAAATTTGTCCTCATGCAGTCATCACAACACTTGCAGCCCTACATTGGGAACAAACTCCTCATGAATGAAAAATATAAGTACAGAGATGTTCTATTGTAAGTGTTGTGATGGACAAATTTTGTGAGGACTGAATCGGGTCTCCAAACAATTAGTACAATTGCTTAATGCCTATATGGTGCTGATGTGTTACTGAAATCGAATCACAATAGACACACAACACCATAATATGAAAGCCCCACAAATATCAGAATTCAAATTTGCTCCTCACCAAGCATGTCTTAAAACCGATTCGGAGACTAAATCGGTCAGGGTTCCGGTTACCAGGTCAAACAGTTGGCCCGTTTAACAAAAAAATAAAAAAAAATGAAAACTAGTCAAAAACGTTTGAACGGTTAACCGCCTGGGTCAGTGATTTGTTGACCAAAATCAACGGTTTTTATGAAAAATCCAGTTTTGGGGGAAACCGGTGACCGGTTCCCAGTTTTTTCGGTCCAACTGTCCAGTCCGATCCGGTTTTGAAAACCATGATTCCATGTATGGCTACCAATGCTGTGACATTGGTGTGAGTATGCTCATGAGCAAATCCGGATTCCATATCTCATGCTTTCAAATAATGTTTTAAAAACTTACCCAAAACTGGAACCGTTCTGACCACTGGTTTTTGAGTTGATAATTTGATCATCCAATTCAAACAAATGGCCCGTTTTGATAAAAATAATTAAAATAAAAAATGACCAAAACTATTGAATGGATCGACGATTCAACCGCACAAGTCACCGAGTCATTGACTAATTCAACAGTTTTTGACCAAGAACCAGGTTTCAAGTAAAACGGAACCGATTACCTAGACAACTTTTGATCCTAATGGTCCAACCATCCGATCAACAGCAATTTATAAACATTGCTTTCAAACATGAGTTTGCTTAATTACGTATCTACCCTCGATGGAGACTTCCTATAATCCTCTCCTTCTCCTTCCAGGAAGTATCAAACGTTCTTTTCATTTGGATTTTGCCCATTTAGTTTTGCCCAATATTTTAATATATATTAAAATGATATAAAATGGCACATATTGTATAAAATTAATAAAATAACTCACATTTTATCATATAAAAAGTCTGAATAAATAGTATGATAAGAAGAATGAAATAGCCAGGTTCTCTAAATTATGAAACCTCCACCCCCCACCCTCTGGCCCCAGCAATATTAATTGGTAGCAGGTAGCAGGAGTAATCACTATCACTCATATATGTCTGCCTCATACCATGAGCCATCATAGCCAATTGGACATTGATTATTGATAAATTTGATATTACGTGAAAGAAAGAAATTTAAAAGGAACAAAAGAAAGATGTTGTATGAAGGCAAAGATATCTCCATACGCTTCCCACCGGAGTTTTTTAATGATCAAGTTCTTGGCCTATCCCAATCAACCCCTGAAAACGCTATGCCTTTATTTTTATGAAATTATTTAAAAATTTTATTGACTTTAATGATAATGTTTAAATCTCTCCTACAAGTATCAATACATATAGGGGTGTCGATTGGACTGGATCTAGTCCAATCCGATCCAGTCGAATGTGAGTCGATTATAAATGGATCAGGTTCAATTCAATCCAATGAATAATTTGGACCATTTTGGATCAGTCCAAGTTAATGTTCGGACCATCCAATTTGTTCAAATTCATTTTAATTTAGATTAGTTTAACTCAAACCAAGTCCATTGACACCTATATTATTAATTTCTTATCTTATATCAATGAACCGGATATTGGATTAATCCAATATAAATATTTTGAACTGCTTCATGAGCAAGCCAATAAGCCCCCAATATATGTTCAAACTGAAAATGTGCAACCCTTACATAAACCATATATGCTAGACCTGAAAAATACATGAAACATTGTGTAAGAGTTGATACCAATAGAAACTAAATTAAGAAAGAAACATACTTTATGTGTAAACTGTACAAAACAGAAGAATGCATCAAGTTCCTACCATGTGCTGAAGGTTAGCAATAGCCAATTAGTCAAGAAATTGATTGGATTATATTCTTCAATTAACCTATGTATTAACATATCTAGGTTGAAATATGTAATATTTTGGAGTTGGGGATTTCAATTTGATTTTTCATGAATTTGTATGTTCACCTTCTTCACGAACAACTTACATGTTCATCTTAAAAACCTAAAATTGAGCAAATAGGAAACAAAACCAAAGCTTTAGGCATTACCAACTAAAAGTAACTTCTTCAAACCAAAGACAACTAAAACTAAAATGGTAAAGAAAGTAAAACCAAAGACAACTAAAACAAAACCACCTCCATTTTAGCTTAGATGATTTTCTTTCCAAGACAACTAAAACAAAAATGGTAAAGAAAGTTAAGCAATTTATGAAAAACCTTACAATTAAGAAAATTAAAAGTTGTTCAAGTTCAATTGAACATCCATTGAAGTTAATATTTAGGAAGCAAACCATGGGAAGACAAAGAACAAAGTATAAAACCATTAAATTATAAGTAATCCTGACACTTAGGGGGTGTTCTTTTTTCAGATTTTGAGAGGGGGGAAAGTTGGTCAATGAGATTTTGGTTCCCATTGACCAAGAATCCCATGTTTTTTTTTTCAGATTTATGTGGGGATTAGGAAAAGTTTATTTTCCTGGGTACCACTTACCCGGGTAAGTGATACCCATCTCCTAGGTGGGTAAATAACTTTCTCACCTAAGGGGAAAGTTGCCAACACCTGAATGGGACAAAAATGCCCCTTTTAATAATAGGTTTTTATGGTTAAAATGGTCATTGTCTTATTTACATGAGAAATAAAAGAATATGGGTAAATGCACTTACCCGGGTAAGTGTTTCCCAGGAAAAACTTACCCAAATAACTGTATTTACCCGGGTAAATAATTTACCAAAAAACGAATGTAGCCTTAGATAAAAAAAAAATGACTACCACATGAAGGTTGCAGAAGCAAGGAAGCATCCAACAAAATCATGTTGGTTTCATTTATCCACAAGGTTTATATATCCAAGTTACTCCAAACTTCAATATCAAGTAAAAAATAGAAGAAACCAAAAGTTGCATTGGAAAATTTGGAATAGTTAGAACCCTCTGACCAGTCATATGAATTAAAAACCTTATTGTAAACATCAAAATCCCCATTGAAGGGGTCAAACAAAAAATGAAGCTATATAATTCTTGTATTCATCAGTCATTACAAACTTGTTCGGTCATGGACTTTTGAAGAGGTTCATAGGTCACAAAAAAAGATCTTTATCTTAAAGAGGCTAAGGAATCAAAATGAGAATTTATTTCAAAGGAAATAGATAAGGGAATTTTGGACAACATCCTTACCTCTTTGGCTACAAAGGTGGGATGACATTGACTACTGCTAATCTTGGAACAAACCCAACAATCAAAAGAATAAACATTTCATATTGGTCGGTGAATTATGCATTTGATTTTCCCCACTGTCACATTCCTCCAATTTAACCCAAAGAAAGTTCAGGAAAATAAAGGACAAATTCCTTTCAAGCTAAAATTTCCCATTGGAAAACATATAAATCATTCATTAAAGAAGAAAAATATTTCGAAGGAGAAAACATACCGGTTAAGTGACTCTTTGAATTCATTGGTAAGAGAACTAATAATGTTGGTACCATCAATTGTATAAATGACAATTGGTATTCTAGAACTTAATCTTGCCCTAACTTGAAGGGTGTAGTTTTACCCTTTTATCATTAGTATCAAACATAAACATGGAGAGTACAAAATAACTTACAAAGAGTTGGTAAGTCTTCTTCAACCTTAACTTTCTACCAACACACACGTAGGAAAATCTGGTTGAATAGCTGCAGATGGAACCTTGTTGAGTCTCCTTTACAAAATGAGAAAATAACATTCAACCGATGATTGATCAATTGATTGTGAAAAAGATAAAGAGAGACTGAGCAAGTGATTGTGCTTTTAGAATTAGCATTTGATTTTTTTTTATGTGGAAAAGAATTGGATTGGAATTAGGCTATAAAGACATCCTTGGAGCTTCAATAGGAAGATTTGTTAGAAATCATAAAAGTAGCAAGCAACAATACACTAAAAAAAGAAACGATTGTGATAATAAACATCAAAAAATGAGAAGAAGAAGAAGAAGAAGAAGTAGATCGGAAGAGTACTGCATACCTCATGGTTCAAATATGGAAGGGGGAATATAAATTGACATTGAACTCACCCTTTACAAAGTAACGTACATTGGATTTATGAAGCCATGAAAGCCAATCGTTACTTGACTCAAAAATGTAGCAGAGTGGGAAAAGGATGGGGAAGAAAGATTGAAAGAACTGTAAGAGAATAAAATTCTTTTAAGGCATCCATTTTACAAAAAGACCAAAGTACTCCCTCCATCTTTAATGATGTGGAATTATTTAACACTAATGGTAGAAATGCAACTTTAATAACATTAACAACGATAAGTGTTAATACAAAAAATAAAAGATATTATTATGTTTTAGTTTTTAAGTAAAAATCATCTACACGTGTAAGAACCAAGAGATGAGAAGCCTTCGTGTGAGCATTATGGAGCAAGACCCTTCACCTCTCTCTTTCCTGTTTATTATATAGATATAGATTAGGGGCCTTATTAGTTTCAAATAACAATAGATTTATGTAGGGGTGCAACTTGGGCGGGCCCGACCCGAGTCTGGACTACCCCAACATGCAATTTTACACGGACTAAGCTTAAATTTTTTGGGCTGGATTCAAGCCTAGCCCTTAGGAATTTCAAACTAGGCCCGACCTTATAACAACCCAAGTCTGACCTGATTATATACATACATATATGTATATATAGGAACATATTTGCATGCATATATGCATATTTCTTCAATAAATTATACATATATACATAAATGCATACATATGCACACACATGTATATCTATTTTTAATGTAGACTAATTGACCAAATTTTAGTGCAGGTTGGCTTGGACGAATAATTCAGGCTCAGGCTGGGCTCAGGCTTTAGGCCCAATTCCTAGGGTTGGGCCTGGGTTGAACTAAAATCTAGTCCAACCCGTCCAATTTGCACCCCTAAGACTATGTGCATTAGTGATAGAAAGAGTTTATTGACTGAAATTAACTATTTTTTTAGACCCCAAACTTTATTCCAGGGTGAGGGTGGCCACTTTAATTTTTTTTTAATCAAAGCTAAACTAAATTCACCATCAACGTTTTCGATCAGTCGTTGACCCAATCGGTTGAACCGTTCGAACCATCACCCAACCAGGATTTCGGGTCCAGTTCAGTCAAGACCCGCCAGACAGGCAAAAACCGTTGACTTGGTCAAGAAACATTCAACCCGACCAGTTCAACCATTGACCTATTTGACTCGGTGACCGGGTCATGGGTTGCACATTGAATACATGCAAACTTTCGAAGGTAATAACTTTACACTTTGTTGTTCGATTGGGTTTATTTTTCTTTTTTTTGATTTTGGGTATCTTTTCAAGATCAATGCGTCCTTGCCCCGCTATTTTCGTGAAAAAAAAAACCTTTTTTAGGCCCCAAATTGCAATTTTAAATATTTTTTATAAATAAAAAAACTGAATTAAAAAACATAAATTAAATATAAAATAATACATATAACATATCTGAAACATATTTATACATTATTTATACACTAATATATACATATATACACATATATGTATATAAATATATATACTTAATATATATGCGATGACATGGCACAGTCTGAGCCGTTTTAGTCAGCCCGTTGGACCAGTGACCCGCAACCCAAAGGCAAAAACGGTTTAGCCTCCGGGTTGGTTTTTAAAACATTGCTCACCATTAGGTGAGAGGATACAACCCGCATTGTTCCAAACCCAATATGTATCAATCTCTCCCTCATACACAAACACCCACCCAAAGAAAAACAAAGAGAAGATAAGCAATCAATCTTGCTTGGGAATTAATAAACCTGTGAGTTTTTTTTTTTTTATAATTCTAAATTGTGCTACACAAGACAGGGAATAGCACGTCTAAAGACCTTGTTTTGCGGCTGATTGATGGTGAGAAATAGACATTCAAAGCTGAATCAATCCCCAAATTCACAAGAGAATGAATCTATTTGTTTTTTTATAAACTAGTCTAAGGGCATGAATAAAGATATAAATTAACATTATATAATCAAATTTAACTTTTTTTACTTACACCAAAATCAAGGTAATATAAAGTAGATATTTCAGTATCTATCATATCTTTTTTTTTTCATGGAAAAAAGGTGAGCTATACAAGCATGGGGGTAGCTATTCCCCTTACATCCGCATCACAAATAAAATTAAAATCACAAGACCTAAACTCATTACTATCCTCTCGATTATTAAGAGCTTCACGAGCTAACCAATTAGCTAATTGATTCGCTATACGTATGCTTGAATCTAATATTCAGGTTAAAAAATTCAACAAGGTTTCGACATTCCCTAATGATACTAACCAATCTCCATGGGGGTGAGACTCGACCATTGACACAATCTATAATCACTTTAGAGTCTCCTTAAATGGTGATTTGCTGGTCCCTAAAGTTAATCGCGATGTTGATAGTCTTCCATGCAGCCCACACTTCCATAAGGTTGATCATCATGATACCAATCCCAATCGCTTCAGTCTCGAGGACATAACCTCGATGGTTCCTAGCAACACACCCAATGACACAATTGCCATTAATCGAACAAGAAGCATCAAAGTTGATTTTGATGCAATCAGTTTTCGGCCTATACCACTTAACAAGATTTAAAATTTTACTGTTAGTGATACCCACACAAGTAGAAATTTCTTTAATTTCATTCCAATAAGCAAAAGCTCTACCAATAATATTCTCTGTATTACTGAAACCTCCATTAAAACATTTATTATTTCTATTCTTCCATATGAACCAGGAAACACAAACAAATTTTTCTCTTGGTAAATTATCCCTGCAATAACCATTTGGCTTGCTTAGCAAAGATCACCACTGCTTGACTGACGAGAATGAGTTCCCGGGAATTGGAAATTCCTCATCTAATCTGCTCCAAATTTGTTTAGAGCTTTCACATTTAATAAACAGGTGGTCAATATCTTCTACCTCCCCACAAAAGACATAAGCTGGGTCAATCCCAAAACCCTTGGTTGTAAGATTATTCTTTGTGACAAGTCTATTAATTAATAAGAGATAAAGAAAAATTTTAATTTTTGGTGGGAGCATGAGTTTCCAAAAGTTTATTTGATAGTTGAAAACAAGACACTCACCACCATTAAACCGACACTCCTCTTCATAAGCCGTTTTAATCGAGAAGTTACCATTCGGGGTGAATTTCCAAACTCTTTCATCTTCATAGTCCCCAGGGGGAATCAATATAGGTTGGATACGCTGCCAAGCCTAGTGATTGGTAATAGACTTAATAAGATCCTCCTTCCACACTCTCCTTTCAAGGTCAATTACCCCACTAACAATCAAATCCATGTCAATCAAATCTCTCATATTATTAAACTCAATCAGAGGACCATTACTAGCCCATGAACCAACCAGAAATTTACATTTTTTCCATTGTCGATTTTTCACATAGAACCCCTTTTAATAAGCTCTCTTGAAGCCAAAATGCCTCTCCATGCCTAAGAAGAACTATTCTTTTTTTTTTTTTTGAATCCCATAAATTGTTGTTATTAATATATTTATTAGTCACAACCTTGACCGAAAGATTGTCATGGCAAGTTAAAATTTTCCACCCCAATTTAGCAAAAAGGGCCTTATTTATCCATTTGAGATTCCTCACGCCTAAATCTACCCCATTTTTTGGGTGAACAAACCCTACTCCGCCTGAGAAGATGAATGGGGTTTTGGCTCTTTGCATTTGACCAAATAAAGTCCCTTTGGTCTTTTTCTAAATTAGCAACCACACTACTTGGAATTTTAAAAGCTTGCATAACAAATTGAGGCACCATTGAGGCAGAAGAATTAATTAAAGTTAACCTCCTAGCCAGAGAGAGGGAATTTTTTTTTTCCAACCTGCCAGTTTGTTATTCATTTTTTCTTTCAAGAGCTTGAAAGTATCTTTTGAAACTCTACCCTCAATAATGGGAGCACCAAGATAGGTCATATTCCTACTCCCAATTGGGATTTTAAGAATTCTGGCCATAATTTCCTGATGCCTATTAGGGATGTTTTTGGAAAAAGTAATGGTCGATTTAAAATAATTGGGAAATTGACCAGATGCTTTTGCAAAACAGTCCAATACCTCCATGATTTTAAGACAAGCATTAATGGAGGCATTAGAAAAAATGATACAGTCATCCGCAAACTAAAGAATTGGAATTGTCGAACCTCCCTTAAAGGCTTTACAGTCAATATCATTCTTGCCTCCCATAGCCTCTTTACTTTAAAAGGGCTTCAGCACAAAGGACAAAAATATACGGGGAGAGGGGATCTCCCTGCCGAATACCCCTACTAGCTCTAATGGTACGAGTAGGAGATCCATTTAAGAGAATTTGAAAGGAAATTGAAGTGATGCACTCCATCACCCAATGAATCCATTTGATATGGAATCCAAATTTAACAAGCATTCTCCTAATAAAGTCCCATTCCAACCTATCATAGGCATTTTCCATATCAACCTTACATGCAAGTATCCCTTGCTTGCCTTCCTTTTTTCTCATAATATGCGTCATTTCATGAACAATGAGAATGTTATCAATAATTTGTCTATTTGGAATGAACGCACTCTGGAATGTCATCCAAGTACGGCTTAATTATGTTAACAAGAATTAACAGAATTGTATCTATACTTTGATTCATTCTCTCCTGGACTACTTCAACTAACAAATTGTATGAGAAATGATAGATCATTATTAATATTAGGCAAGGTTCAAAGTATTGATATGTATCAGCCTATACCGGCCGATACATATCGTGTTGGTGGCTTCCTGATACGCCCCTACAGGGGTTATGTTGGGTCAGCCACTAATTTAGAGGGTAGATGGGCCTTAAACCGGCCCCTCTGAACCGATTTCGAAAAAAAACTAAGTAAAACATAAAAAAAAACCACCGACACAGGCTGATACACCCTACCCGTGTCAATATTTAGAACCTTGATATTAGGTATTGGTGCATGATCACAATCAACTTTTTCCTTGCTTCCTTATTCATATGACAGATGAACATAATTAGATTTTTTTTCCTTTCTTAGAGAGGGAGAGACATTTAGCATGTTCCAAGGGCATTTTGGTCGCATTAAAAGATAGATGAGATGACATCAAGTAGGTAAATTGATATAAA